TAACACGGACAGAGAAAATATAATATTATTTAACACAACAGAAACTCTTATTGGATGCACAATAGAGAAATTCATTGCAAAGAAAAAGAGATAACTCTTTGTTTTCAGCGAAAGTTGACTCCATTGTCGATTCCATTAAACTTTGATCGTTTACAGAAACTTACAATGAAACTAAGCAAAAATTACAACTCTCGAGAAAATAACACGGAAATTGTCTATCAACTCCTGCTTTGTGGGACTTTGCCTGTGCCGTGAGTGCTTTGGCTCGTTGACCACCGATTCACAGATCGTGAGGGTGTTTAGGGATCTCTCATTCGTTTATCGAAGTAAAGATTTGAAAGCGAATATCTTATCGATGTAAGATGTTCACTCTTCCAAAGATCAAGTTTGAGCTTAGATCTCTAGGAATCACCGAATGATGCTTGTCAAAGGGTGAAAATTCTTTCTTTCTTCCTCAAAATCACCAAAGACTCAAGTCTCTTCTGCTCCAAAATGTTCTCCCTCCTTTATTTCGTGTATAGGGAGGTATTTATAGGGATAGGAATGCACCACAGTTGAAACGGGGGCAAAATAACCGACCTGATGTTTTTTCTTTGGCCGCTACAGTCTACACTGCCGCGGCTATTGGCGCGACAGTATAGGCTGCCGCGGCCAAAGAGACGGTTATCAGCACGTTCCATCGTGCTTAAAACCGTTCTCCCACGACCTTTAACCACTTTTTTCGTGGTTTAACTGCTTGTCCACGTCAGCACACGTTCTCTCACTTCCTTTGAATGATTCCCTCTGATTAAGAGAATGGCGTTTATCGTCTTTTCTTTGCCTTAAGTGGTATTTGGATGTCTGTAAGTATTTTTTTTGACGCCTACAGATACCCCCTCCAAAGTATCTCAGACTCATTATCGTAGAGAGGAGTCTGGGACACTTTGGACATGATAAGCTTTCCCTTGCAATTTCTCCAGTGCTTCGTTGAGGAAATTGCGTAGAATGGTCTGTGAATGGCTTCAATTCTTGACTTCTTCATCTTTTAGCCTATTCAGTGCCTTGCAGAATAGCTAAAATTCCTCCGGTGCTGCGTTTATCGCGTGACCATTGTCAAAGTCTTGAATTTGAACTGCCGTCGAAGAATGGAGAAATAGTTTATACTCATATGCTCTATTGAAGTGTTCGGGAAATAGTTTAACCTCATATACCCGTTGGGAGGTTCAAGGAGATGCAGTTTATACTCATATATACCCGTTGGGAGGTTCAAGGAGATGCAGTTTATACTCATATACTTATCGGAGTGTTCGGGTATATGTTGCAAATACAGCGGGAGATGTATGTGTTCAAATACCCAAGGATCGTTGTATATACATGATATTCTTGCGCGACAAAGTGGACCACGGTCATGTCAGTTGCCGCGGCGGCATAGAGTGCCGCGCTAGTGCGCGACGATGTAGAATGCCGTGCTAAAGCGCGGCAGCATCGAGTGCCGCGCAGCGCTCGGCCAATCGGGTTATAAGGCCGATATTGGGTCTTTTTAGGGTCACTTTTACCCGCTTTTCTAAGTTTGAAATCCCCTCAAATCCTCTTCCGTACCCTATATAAGGTAACCCTTGGCTCTTCTTCTCTTCACCTCTTCAGATCTTAGCGATTTTCTCCGAACAAGATCTAGGGTTTCACAGTCTTTCCTCAGATTTTGAGATTCCCTTTGCTGTGTTCATCTTTCGGATCTATTCCCCTCTATTCTCAGGTAGAACCGAACCCATCCCTTGCTTTTGGGTTAGTTTTTCTTTTTATTTTGAAATTTTGTCTCAAAACCCTAACTTCATTGTTATTTGAGGCAGTTTGAATATGTCACCAAAGAAGGCTCGTGCTTCGAAGGGCAAATCGGCGGCACCAGCACCTGAGGAGGTCGAGGCTACCGTTCCTTCTTTTGGGGGTAAGTTTCTTCAACTTCTCCTTATCTGAAATTATTGATTTTGTGCATATCGCCTCGTTTATCTCCATTGAGAGACATTCGGGAAGAGTTGACATCCTCCATCGAGAGGATTGACACTACACAACACATATCTTGTTCAATCAAGACATGTACTACAGTCAAGATGCGAGTTTTCGTCGAACTCGTGCCTTTTCAGAATCAAAGGTCGCTGTTCAGTTACCGCGGCAGTACGTGTTGCCGCGGCTGAACGCGGCAACATACCCTGCCGCGGTAACGCGCGGCAGTAAATAATGCCACGGTTACTTAGAGCGGGGTTTTGCTCTGTTTCGTCTCTTTTATACAACTGTTTCCCAACTTTTCTTTGCAGTCCCCTTTCCCTCTGTGGCCTTCTCTGATAGAGAAGACCCAGGCCAGAGCACTGATTCACCCTTGACTTCAACTCGGGATTCTACCGAACCGTTGAAGAAACCTGATTATCTGTTTGGAGATTCGATAGAAGATCCAGACAATCTCTGCCGTGGCCCTGAAATTTGGTTGAATGAGCACGAAGGTGCTTTTCTATTCCTTCCTCCATTCCCTCGATAGTATTCCCTTCTGCAATTAAGGAATTTGGCTGTTTCGAGGAAAATAACATGGTACCTGACAGAAGACCACGAGCGCGTTCATTGCGGATTCATTGGTAAAGATATTAGCGCTCCTGGTTCCATCGGTAGGCATAATATTCGTGGTCTCCATCCGGGGCTATTTGGACCAGATAGCGGGCCTCAGAACGAACTGATGATAAGGGCCAATACGGTAAAGAATAAACTCGCCCGGGTTGGCAGAGAACTTCCCATTCCAAAATTCAGGTGTTATGGATGGGTTCATTCTCTTCCAGACAAATGGTGGGCTAGGATGACCAACTACGTACTCACTCGTTGGGATCGGGAGTTAAGGAATTTGGGATTATATGCTCCAATCCGAGCCAGCATGCATGGTCTCCCAGTAAGTGTAGATCATTTTATGGCCTTGTTCGAGTCTTATATTCCGGAGACCAATACATTTCTTACCAAGTATGGGGAGTTAGGGCTTCCGCTCCACGAAATGATGAAGGTATCCGGACTGCCATTAGGGAATACTCCTTACCAAGAATATTTTCCCAACAATCGTCAGCTTATGAAGATGAAGAAGGCTGGCTCTCCTGCTTATGACATTCTCTGGGAATTGACTTGTCACTACCAAACAGCGATAGCCAAGATCGAGGTAAAGAGTAAGAAGGCGGCTCGAGTCAGTTTAAAACAATTCGCCGATTACTTGTTTCAGAATCTTGAAAGCCCAACCGGTGAAGCAGTCTGCGAATCTCCTATTCTGACTCCTTCTGAAGTTAATGTGCTGATTACCAAGATTAACGCCCAGTCCTATAGAACCGAGTCATCCGAAGGTGGTTTTCATAGGGGCATGAAATTCAATACCTTCTTGTGGCAATCCACAAAGAAAATGAGGCCTGAAACTCTCCTTTCTGGCTACCTGGCCATTTGGCTGAAGAGATGTGTAGTGCCGCATCAGTCTTCTGAAGCGCTTCCTCTTGAAGTTCTTTTTCCCGCCGTGCAACTAGTTGTCAGAGGCAGGTTATCTCTTCTCTCCGCCATGATTGCTGACCTCCATACTGGTTTACGTAACCTAGCTAACACCTTTACAAAAGTGGGTGCTGAGCCTTCTACTAAGATTCCCTTATCGAGTGTTGAGTTGCCATACACATACTTAATGGCGTGGCTAGTTCTCCACCAAACGGACATGATGTCAGCACCTGACGTGTCTGATCCTGAAATCCCCTTGCTGCATCTCTTAGAAGGATGTAAGTGGTTATATCCTTCCCGACCGTGGACTGACAGAGTGAGGCAATTCAAGAATGCCAAGTGCTGGGAATTCTATAAGTGTTTCCCTCGGTTTTCTGGTGCTTATAATGACACGCTTGTTGACGAGGAAATGCCTGGGGCCGACAGGACTTCTCTCGACATGGGTAGCTTCCATTGGCTTATGAACATTCGACCAGGTTATAATGTTTTCTGATCGAAGAACCTTTGCAGGATCGAACCTTATTTTCCTTGCCGTTTTGCGCGACAATTCGGCTACGATCAACTGTACATCGGGAATCCCAATAAGTGGTTGATAAACTGCGGAGGCCTTATTGATGGAGTACGAGCCTGGTTCTGGAATGTTGCTGGCTGTACCGGAGCTCAATTTAGTTTGCCCGTTGCTGAGCCTGAACTCCACATGACCTTTGTTTATTGCCGGTGGATTTTAGCCGCCAACACTCCTCTTGCGAAGAAGAAGCTTTCCGAACTGGAATCTGAGGCCGTGGTTCGGAGAATTGTATCTAAAAAAGGAAAGGAACCTGCTACATCTTCCCGCAAAGGAAAACAGGTAGCTGATTCCGAAGAGAGTGACGACTTCGAAACATCCAGTGAGGAAGATGAGACAGAGATTAATATTCCTCCTTCTCCTGTGGCCTACAGAACTCGTCGGGCTTCTTCACCCTCGTCACCGGGTATTCCTTCAAAAGGTATACAGATGAAGGAAAAGAATATTCCTTTGTCGACTTCCAACAAGATGACTGTTCAATGGCCCGTGCGGGAGGAAGAGGCGGAAGAAGAGGAAGAAGACATTGTCCCGCTTCTTAGCAGGAAGAGATCTCGTCCTACTGCTCCTTCTGAGGTTCAACCTCGGCCAGCTCAAGGAACCGAACTACGTACCAAGTTTCGCCATGAGAGCTCCGAGGTTCCTCGTGATTCTCGTGCTTCAAAGAGGATTAAGAAGACAGCTCATCACCATCGTCAACTTTCCCCGTTACTTGAAGAGAAAATTACTCAGGATCTTCCAGTTGATAAAGGGGGTAAGATCTCATTTTGTCTCCTTTTCATTATCTTATCTTTGAATATAGCATCTTATTTATTCTTTTGCTATTGCAGTTGAGCCAGAAGAGGAAGGAGAAATCATTCCCGAGCCTTCTTCTCCGGGTTTAATGGATGTTGATGAATCCAGCTTCACTCAACAGGTACAAAGAGCGATGAGTGAAGAACCCCTCACTATGGACACTGCCCCTCCTCCGGTCACTACATCGACCTCGCCAACCGCTGACACAGGTACAGATGTTTTCTCATTTGGGGGGCATTTCCGGGAGATAAGTGGATCGGAACGTGTTCCTCTCCTACTAACTTGTGCGCTTTATCTTCTTTTAGTTAAACTAAAGGAGGTGAGTGCGGGTAGTAGCGCTGCTGATCCCGCAACTGCTATTGAAGGTAATCTTATTTTGTTTGCTTTGATTCTTTTGTATTTCTTGCATGTGCGTTGACGGATTCTTCTGCTTAATAGACATCCCTGTCAACGAACCGAGAGACACAGAACTTACCCATGATATGGGTATTGGAGATTTCGATGAACGTGACTTCGATCTTGATATTTCCGAAGATGTACACCAGGAGATCTCCGATATATTGTCAACTCTGGTTCCATCCGCTACTGCAGGACCAACTACTCGAGTTGATTCAACTGAAGTAGGTGCATCAAAAGGTATACTCTTTCAGACTCAAGTTTTCAACTATACTTTCATCTCTTATTGTTTTTGGATGACTGAAATAAGAATTTTAGACGTAGGACCAACGAATGAAGTTGATGCGTCTATCGTCATTGGTGAGTGCGACCAGCCAGAAGGCATGGGTTTCCTACTTTTGACAGGTCCCCCAGCTGAAGTTGAACCGCCAGTTGCTACTCCTCCAACTTCTGCTATTGTCGAAGCTGAACCTGTTGTGCCTAGAGTTGGTGAGTTTTACCCATTGTTTGTTTCAACTTTCGGATTAACATTCCATTATGCTCATTGTACTTCTTTTGTTTGTAGAATCCCCTCTTAAGGAGCCTCTTAGTTTGGACCCGCCGTCTTCAGAGGCTTTAGTTTAAAAAGCATCTGATGTAGCGGGTGCATCAACGGCTGTCATTCTTGAACCAACCTTGATTGTTCCGGAAGCCGGACTACCCTCCTTGGGTGAACCAAGTCATACTGAAGGCTTTTCCGTCGAACTTGGTATGATTCAGCCTGTTGTCTTGCATGTATATATATATGTTCTGTACTGACTTATTTGTCCTCATCGCAGCTTCTTTCTTATCATTATCAGACCGCATCCAAGCTCTATTGACAGACGAGGATCCGGATAAGGCTGTCATCTGTTCTAACCTCCAAGGCTTCATCCTCTTTTTGAACTCTATGGTGGATCGTATTCTCTTCAAAGGATCGTACTTTGAGAGTTATAACAAATCTCTTGGGCGTTTTATATCAGGGTTCAAAGAGGAAGGGTATAATGAGTTAGCCGATTCAATCAACGCTTATTTGGTTGATTTGAAGCGACATGTTGAACTTCTACAAGCTCTTCGTACCAAAGGCATACCCTCTTACATCGCTTCCCACATGGAATCCAAGTTGCAAGCGTGGCATGATTCCCAACAATCAGCTAACCTCGAACTTTAAAAGCTAAGAGCCCGAAGTGATCAACTTAGGGTGAATGTTGGCAAAAGAACACAAGCCAAGGTTAACCTACGCCGGGATTTAGAATCGAGTCGCGCGGAAATAGCTCGCTTAGAGGAGGAACTTGCAATGGCCAAGGATGCTCATGAGGTCTTGGAGTCCGAGTTGACGCAGGAAACTCAGGTTGAAGAAAACCTGTTACAGCAGCTGAACCTTCAAGATAAAATACTTGCTGAAAAGGAACAAGAGGTCGCCGCGCTTCACAGTGTTGACGAAGAAGTCTTCAAAATTAAATTGGCGGCTGAGCTTGAATAGGCTTATGCATTAGAGCTTTCAAAACTTGAAAATCAGATTAGTCAATATAAACTTTTGTAATTGGAGAACATATATTTCTTTTTAGCTTTGTTTGAACACTCTTGGTCAATATATTGAATCATTTTGCTTATTAAGATTTTATTATGATTACTCATTCTTGTTTAGCAAATCCTCAGCCATCAACGGATTTGATATGCCTTTACCGACTACCGTTTGAGTCGGACTAGTATGTGAATTATCTAGGTCCGTTTCACATATGACGTTGGGCTAAAAGAATTAAACTCTTTTAGACTTTAGACTACAATGTTGAATATGTAGGCTACATGTGTTAGATATAGGCTTATCTCTAATAAGGAATAGAGATAACATCCCCCATGTATGAACGACATGGATTTTAAAGTGTGAGTAGGTTGCGTTTCCTATATTGGACAACGAACCCGAAATCGGAGAGGAAGAATTTTATATTCTATCTCCTGGTCTCTTGTTTGTTGGTAGAGATAAACCCGAAATTGGAGAGGAAGAATTTTATATTCTATCTCTTGGTCTCTTGTTTGTTGGTAGAGATAAACCCAGAATCGGAGAGGAAGAATTTTATATTCTATCTCCTGGTGAAAGGAAACTCAAAGTGGAATCTCCACTTAGAGAATCTGGGTTGGTTTGAATAACCCTAACTATCATAAGGTTTGATTACTCAATTCAAAAGTGGACATTTTGTTCGCAAAAATGAATCGAAAGGAGATTTTGGCTGTGGTCCTAACTGTAGTAAGGTTTGACCAAGTGGGGGTTTTAAGACGATCCTAACTGTAGGAAGGTTTGACCGCTCGTTTTGTGGACCTCTCGTTCATGGAAGGAATCGAGAGGGGATTTTGGTTATGGTCCTAACTATTTAAAGGTTTGACCAGGTGAGGAATTGGAGTAGGGTGCAAATAACAATGAGTTCGTTGATTTGCACAAACTACTCGGTGGGAAGTTTTGATTTCAAACATAAGAATTTAACACAATAATTTGTTGACTGATACGGATTGATGACTATTGGTCGATCCGATCGGTGAAGGTTTCATGGTGTGAGGTTACAAATTATCGAATCTCCTCTTCCATGATCACGTTACAGGGTTTTGTGAGGAAAGATTAACTGTCATTAAATCTCCTCTCAACAAAAGTAGTAAGAGGATCTTAATTATTTTTATAATAATTAAGAATAGATTATTCACATAATCAGTTTTCATTTAGAATAATCAACTGATATCGGGTTATCCTGAAATATCCTATATAGGATTCTCTAGGAACTTCTCGTTTTACATAGGTTATCCTGAACGTATTACGGATAATACTTTTTCAGGAACTTCCTATTTATTGGCATCATTAATTTGTTGCCATCCTGGGTAATCAGGCGATAAGCACCGTTGGAATAGACTGTTTCTATTACAAACGGTCATTCCCATTTAGGTTCAAATTTGCCTTTCTTCTTAGAAGTGAGAATCATAGGTCTTCGGACGGCAAGAACCAGATCTCCTTCTTTAAAGCTTCGTCGTCGGACCTTTTTATCAAAAGCCCGAGAGATTCTAGCTTGATAAAACTCGATCTGTTGTTGAGCTTCCAAGCGCTTCTCATCTAACATCTCTAATTCCTTGAGAAGTTTCTGATGATGTTCTTCCGTCGTCATTCCCGTTACGAGAGCGATGCGGAGAGAAGGAATCTGTATTTCCAATGGAAGGACGGCTTCACACCCATATGTTAAAGCATACGGGGTGGCTCCGGTAGGCGTGCGGATGGTCGTACGATAAGCCCAGAGAGCTTCGCCGAGTTTGTCGTCCCAATCTCGTTTATTGGTTTTCACTAATTTTGCCAGAATTTTGATGATAGTCTTGTTAAAAGCTTCGGCTAATCCGTTAGCTGTAGGATTATAAACAGTCGACGAAACATCTTTAATCCCGAATTTACCGCAAAATTTGATAAATACGTTGCTCACGAACTGAGGACCGTTGTCGTGCACTATTCGCCTTGGCACACCATACCGATATATGATATGGTGTTTGATAAATTTGATAACATCAGTCGTCTTTACTTCTCTAAGTGGAACTGCTTCTGCCCATTTCGAGAAATAGTCGGTGATTGCCAAAATGAAACGGTCCCCTTTAACCGAAGGCGGAAAAATTGGACCTACTATATCCATTCCCCAAGTTTCGAATGGCCATGATGTCGCCGATGGGTGTAAATACTCTGGAGGCTGGTGCATATAATTTGCATGTAACTGACACACTTCACATTGTTGTGCGTAGTCGACTGCGTCTTTTACCATAGTTGGCCAGTAATACCCGATTCTCCTAAGTCAATCACAGAGTTTAGGACCGGGCTGATGTGCACCGCATATCCCATCATGCGCCTCTTTGAGTGCTTGTTCCGCTTCTTTGCTGGATAAACAACGGAGTAAAAGACCGTCATACGATCGTCGATACAACATTTGCGATGTGGCATTGTAATAAAATCTCGGCGCTCTTCGCCGAATCGATTCCCTTTCTCTTACATCTTCAGGTAATATACCATGTAAGACGTAGTCAATAATAGGAAAACGCCAATCTCGAACTTCGGGTTCAACTCCAGTTGAGTATACCTCTTTAGCATTCGAATCGTAGATTGGAACAATAAGCTGATGAGTCCTCACTGTAATTAATTGCTCTGTTTCGGGAGGTTGAGCCAAGGATACTGACAATGCTGCCAATGCATCCGCGTATGTATTTTGGAGACGCGGAACGTACTCGATGAAAAATTCTTCAAACGAGCTTGCCACCTCAATGGCCACCTGGTGGTATGGAATCAGGTCTCGATTTCTGACTTCATACTCTCCTCGTATTTGATTAACCACCAGTTGAGAATCTCCAAAAGCTTCAAGGTATTCGACCCCCAGCTCTTTGGCGAAATTAAGTCCGATTATTAATGCATTGTATTCAGCCACGTTATTAGAGCATGGTTCGGTCAGTGAATATGCTCTAGGCAAGACGTGCTTTTCCGGGGAAACTAAAACGACCCCCACTCCTGAGGAGATTTTAGAACATCCGGGTGCACTTGCTACGTTGGTTGATCGGGAAGCCCCATCGAAGTATAATTACCACACTTGTTGATGTGAGGTGGTATTAACTTCGTAAGCTTCATCTGGTAGATCGTCGTACAATTCGACAACATCTTTCGTAGGGTTTTCCGCCAGAAGATCGCAAATAGCTCTTCCTTTAACTGATTTTTATTGCTTGAAGTACAGGTCATATTGCGATAAGAGTAAAGCCCACCTGGCTAAACGCTAATTCATGGAAGCCGGTTGGGTCATGAATACTCGGACGGGATTTATGTTGGAAATGACATAGATTGTCTGTCCAACTAAATAATGTCGCATTTTCTGAATTGCGAATACCAAGGCAAGGCATTCTTTCTCAATCATCGGGTAACGAGACTCAGCTCCTACCAATGTACGACTCAGATAATACACAGCTTGTTCGTGACCGTTATCGTCGTCTTGTGCAAGTAATGCACTTAACGAATGGCTCGTCGCTTTGACATAAATCAAAAACGGTTTGCCCGATTTTGGTGCAACAAGAATAGGTGGATTCGCCAGATATTTCTTAATATCCTCGAATGCCTTTTGGCATGCTTCATCCCAAACGAACGACACGTCTTTCTTCGCGAGTTTAGAGAACGGTTGACATTTTCCAGACAGATTTGATATAAACCGACGGATGTATGCCAATCGACCTTGCAACCCTCTGAGTTCTTTAAGATTTCTTGGGGGTTGTAGCTCATGTATTGCCTTCACCTTATCAGGATCAATATGAATACCTTTTGTGGTGACGACGAATCCAAGAAATTTACCGCTCGACATTCCAAGGAAGGATTTAGTCGGGTTCATTTTCAGCTGATGAGTTCTCATAAGCTCGAACATTGTCTTCAGATCGTTAATGTGGTCATTTTTATCATGACTCTTAACGACCAGGTCATCGACGTAACATTCGACGGTCTTCCGGAGGTGCTCTTGAAAGATCTTCGTTATTGCTCGTTGGTATGTAGCGCCGGCATTCTTTAAACCGAATGGCATAACAGTATAACAAAAGACGCCAAGGGGTGTTCTGAATGT